ATGTCCTTATCAATCACTTGCTATGCAAATTCTGGCTATACCATATTCCTCATATTTTACTGAAGTTTGCTTTTTGATTGGTTTTTCGGCTCATTTTTTCAATTTGATTATAGGCTGAATACACATTCTGTACCAAATTGCACTCAAAAGCAATCCAACATTGAAGACTAAAATCTTAAAGTCAGGAAATTTGAAGGACTCAACAGATGAAGCATCCAACCTTCGGAGGTAGGGGAGACTAGATAATCTTGTTGTAGTTTATTCAGTGTCTGATGAAAGAGACTAAAACTTACATTTTGTTCTCCTGCTTGTAGGCCTCCCATGTATACACATGCCACAGACAGCAATTTGGTTGAGTTTTCAAAGTATAATTTTAAGTGAGTAGAAAACCCAGACCCCTGTTTGTGGAAATAAAGCTCCCTTTAGGAAATAGAGGTTTCATTTGGGTATTTAACTTCTGGCACAACAACCGGAGAGGCTCCCCTGATATATTCTGCAAAGACATCGCTGAAAATTGCTTTTGCAAAGAAAGCAGTTCGTTAAACCTTTCGGAAAAGGTCTTTGAAGATAAACAGCAAATACTGCCTTTATTTAAGAGAATCAAAGGAAAAGCTGTAAGAAAGACAACAGTGTGAGGCTTTCATCTGTAACTGTCCCCTCCCTTTTCTATCCCTGAGGCTCCGATTCCACTTCAAACTGATGCCCTTACAAATCACAGCATTGAGTGTCCCCTGAGCATCTTCTCACCCAGATGCAAGTCCTTGTAGAGCCTGAGCCTTGGGCACTTGTGACCCACGTGTGTAATCTCTCTTCATCCTCTCAGCTTCATTCACGGAAAGGAAGCTCAATGTTGGCACCATGTAAGGAGAACACAGAGGCCTTGAAGGACGTTACCCCAGTTCAGGAGGGAGTGACCTACTTCCACGCAGGTGGCTGAGAGCACCGCAGGCTGGGCCTGTACTCTATTCCACTCTGCTCAGGGACTCCTTGGGATGCTCAGTTTCAGAGCCCTGCCCTGTGTAGTTTCCCTAAAGGAAGAAAGGGGCTCCAAAACATATGCCTATTCATTCATTCCCAGACAATTGGCTTCAATTTCAATAAAGAATGAGTAACAAAAAACCATTAATAAATTTAAGTTCATTAACATTAAAACAAAACATGCTGTGCTTCAAAGGACCTCATCAAAGAAACAAAAAACAAAACCACAAGATGGTAGAGTCTCTTGTATTTACCAATCATGATTCTGATAAGGGGCACATATCTGGGCTCTATAAAATTTTACATAAATCAGTAATAATATAACAAGTCAATAAACATTGTGGGAAAATGGATGCACCCTGAGACCATAGTGTAAGGTGAATTAAATCTGACACACAAATTTGAATATTACATGGTTTCCATTTCAGAGAAGCTCAAAATATAAATGGCAAAAATAAAAGATAGATGATAGGAATGGGGAGAGAGATATTTTGTAACGGGGAAGGAGACCAAGAGATGGGAAATGGTGGAAGGAGGAAACAAACACCAACAGCCCAGGAGTTATGTCAGCAATGCACACTAAAATCAGGTGCTCATAAAAATATATATATTGAAATAAATAAAGAAAAGAAGTGGACAAATTATCTGACTAAATGTTTTGTCAGGGAAGTCACACAAATCAATAAGCTTGACATCATTAGTCATCAGAAAAATGCGGATCAGAAATAAAATACTACAAGGATGAGTAGAATCAGAGTTGCACACTCAGAATGGATGAAGACAAAAGGAAGTGGCACCTGATAAACTGAGGGTGGGAGTGTGCAATGGTGCTGACTCTTCCCAGACTATCCGGCAGTTCTCAGACTTTTAAGCACAGAGTTGTCATATCATCCAACAGATTTACGTGTAGACATATACCTGAGAGAGACTTAAATGTGTCTAATCAAAAATTCAGACACAAAAATTTGTAACAACACTATTTATAATAATTAACTAGTACAACCAACTCAAATGACCATTAACAAAAAAAAATAGATAATAACAATGGTATTGAAATAGTATTCAGCCCTTAAGAAATGAAGAACTGGTATGTGCTTCAGTATGGATCAGTCGTGAAATTGTAAAGTGAAAGTTATCATTTAAACATCCATACTATATGATTTGAGTAAGATGAATCTTTATAATAGCTGATATACTTAGGATGAATAAATGGTGACTTCAGGACTATGGAGAGGTTGGAAGAGATAAAAAGTGATTACAACAGGTGCAAGGTTTTTGGTTGTTGTAAGGAAAAAATTCCAAAATGTACAGGGTGAGGGCTGCATACCTCTTTTAATATACTAAAAATATTGAATTTTAAACTTTATAGAGGTTAGAAATATTTCACTTAAATCATATCTCAATAAATGTATACAAATAAATAAACAAGCAGATCTTCACCTTGGTCATTTTTGTAGTCTAATGGTGAGGTGTTTGTCACCATCGAGACCCATGAGAGTATTCGGTTGTTAGGAAGAAAGTGGGTGGAAGCCTTCTGCCTTTCAAGACCAAAGTTCAATGTGGGTGCTTTGAGGCAGAAGGGGGAGGAACAGCTGCCCATTGGAAATTTACCAGAAAGTAGAAATTTGAGTAGGACGTAATCATATGTTAGTGTACACACAGTGTACCACCACATGCTCAGGTATATTACATACTTTTAAAAAATCTTGTATTCTTATATATTTGTTATTCCTGCAGTTTGCAGTCATCTTGGGAGAGGTTACGTGTACATATCACAGCTGGCTTCTTCTTTTCCCCCTTCCCAGCCACTTCTGCCTTGCATTTCTTCTCCTTTATCCCCTTTTGCGTACTTGTTGATGTTATTTGCCTTAGCTCATGTTATGCGAATAGTGTTTACACTAACTGGGATTGTTAGGTACATGCTCATTTTTTGCAGAGGTGATTTTTGGAATGATAATGGTTTGAGAAGTAGGGAGAATGAAGCTAAAGTGAACCCAGATGTATGATAGATCAGTGACAAGTATCATTGTCATTTACGATAGAATAGGATGCTTAAGAATGCAGTGATTATTTCTTTGGAGTGTGGCTACAGATGAATAAATTTTTGTTTGGTTTTTCTTTATACCTTTTTAGGTTGCCAAATGAAAATTAATAGAACACTGTTAATTCATATTTGATACTAAATTCCCCAAATTGAAGGCATAGGATTTCCTTTAGACCTCAAATGTAGAAAATAAATGGAGGAATGGTTTATTTGCAGTTGTTGCTAAGAGTTGCCACATTGAAAATCTCAGACATGGAACCACACTGCAGATTCTACTCTCACTCCAGAACTTGTTAGTCTGAAAGCCATTGAGGACCTAGGTTCTCCAGGTGTTGTTTTCCTCTTCTAAAAGTTGCACTTACCTCTTAAAGTAGATAAGTGTGAATTGGCTCAATTAATTCCTTGCAATAGATGCCTGGTTTTAGTATGTACTCTGGGCTAGCTGTTAATAAGAACAGCAATTTTCAAGCCTGTGACAGGGTTGTTATGTGAAAGAGGAAATGTATGTTCTATTTGAATTGGAGAAATGATACTGTAAAACGGCAGTGTTAGCACAGTATGGTTTAGGTAAAGTTGAACACTGGAGAACACCTTTAAAGTAAGGTTTGTTACTCAAGATCTTCATGTGAAGTTATCTCAAAACTCAGCTCAACAAATGAAACAGATGATTTTTAGGCATCATAAATTTTCAGATTCCTTGTGAATCTTGGGTTATTATTTATATTGTTTTTCAATGTATTACTGTTCAAAGACTTTGTCATTCTAAACTATTTTATTTTATATAATTGCATATCCTAATTTGCCATTTGGAATGACAGAAGTAAAATGACCTATTCCACTTATCCATTATATTTAAGATATTCCTGGCATGCTATAAAATATTTAATCATAATTCATCATTATACCTGTACAAGGTTTTCTTCTGAGATCAGCTGTACAGTTTAAACTGTAGTCTAATTAACTTTTAAAAAATCCATTAAGTCTCTAGTTCATGTTTTAGAATAAGGGGTCAATAAAGAGTCAACATTTAAATTCAAATTAAATTTAACTGTACTCAGTGAGAAGATCTTTGTTCATAACCTCCTACAAGATGTGACAAAGCTTAACCTTCCTTGAATTATTCTCCCCTGCTTGATACTCATTTAAAGAAATTTATTTTTTATTCCTGATTATCTTCTAATTATTGCCATTACCTTGAAGGGGGACATATTTTTATGAGATTTTGTATGAACTAGTTTTATGGTTTTTAGTGTACTATTTTGTGTTGATTAGGCCAAGAACTTTCATGAGTTAAGAGACATGGTTTTAAAATAAATGCTATTTATTCTCTTTACTTAAGAAATGATGTGTATATGCATCTATTAGTTATATAAATATCTAAAATACATAGCTATTTAAGCATAATCAGTATGTTATGGCTTGTATCGAGATGTTCTCCAGAGCCTCATGTGCATTGTGGAAAAGGCTGGATCCAAGGTGTGATACTGGGATAGAGGATGTACTGGTACTAAAGTAGTCCAGTGGATGTAATGGTACTAAAGTAGTCCAGTGATTGGAATTAGCATAGTTTTGGGTGTGGATAATGGAAGCCTCACCCTGAGTGTGGGTGGTACTAATCAATAGGCTTGTAGCCTGGGTAGAATATGAAGTGAGAGAGGGAGCCAGGCTGGCTTCTTCTGCTGCTACCTGCTGCCTACTGCCTGCTGCCTATTGCCTGCTGCCTGCTGCCTCTTGCCTTAAGTGTTTCTGTGTAACACCCCTCTGCTGTGCTGCCCTGCCTTGGAGCCAGCTGTATGTGGACTGAAACGTCCACAAACTGTGAGCTGAAGTAAACGTTTCCTCCTTTAACTTGTGGGTGTTAGCTATTGTGTCTCAATGATAAGAAAAGTAACCAAGATGAGTATATTCTTTAATAAAACGAGTGTATTAGTTAACTTTAAAAATTGAATTATTGGCTTTCATACCCAAAACACATTCCTTTTATTTTTAAAGAGAAAAAAAAAAACAATGGAACTTTAAAATATGAAAAAATTCTTTACCTGAGCGTAGCTTTAGCAGGGTTTTTATGAATTTGAAATTGAATAAAGTGTTCAGGACTACCTGGCAGGGTTTGGTGGGGAAGCTGGGAGCCCCAGACCGATGGCTGCATTGCTTGAGGAAGGCCACAAAATGTTTCTATAAATGAACTCGCGATTACAGCCAGGTGTGAGAGAGGCTTCCGTTCTAGAGGAGACACAGCACCAAGGAAGTTGCAGCTGGTTGAATTAAATACAATAATGTTTTGTTTCACAGAAAATTCTAATCCAATTAGTTTCTTTAGCCCAGAGTCACTAGATAATTTACCCAAAGTCATGTTTTCCATGCTGAATAAAGTATCAGGAGCGCAGGAATGCGGGGATAGAGACGGTGAGGCAGGAAATGCTGGAAGGTGAATGTGTGTGAGAATTCAGCGAGGTGCACCGTAGCATAGGCCCAGCGGGCCAGCACCCTGGTGTCTGGAATCTTCAGAGGACCGCCTCAGAAAGATATGTGACCTGCTGACTCACAACAGACTACTGCCACAGGGAGAGCAATGTGAGGCTTTGCTGAAGCTCCCTCCACTTCCTTGACTGTGCCTTCATCAAATGTTCCTGCCGTAGGCGATCGATCCATCCTTGTATGTTGGTCAAGTCCAGGGCCTCACTGGGAAGCTGCCCAGTCGTGAGAATGGGGCAGGTACAGACCGCGTCAGAGCAAGGGTCACCACATCCCTGCGTCCTGCTGCAGTCTCAGAGCCCTCGAGTCCAGCCCCTGTGCAATTGCATCATTTGATCAGTTGAAAAAAGTAGGTTTTAATCTGGTCCTGTGACTTGTGGACTCTGCCGGATATATATTAAATGTCAACTTATTAAAAAAATCAATTTGGATACAGCTGACAATGGAAGAGAACCTATTATGTCCTAGAAAATCCGAATGGTTTCTTAAAAAACAATCAATAAAATTAGCAAATGGCTGTTGCTGACCCACTCACCGATACTGTGCCCAAAAATTTAGTTATTCTTTCCCTCCCACAAGTTGCAGCCTCGTCCCCTTCAGAGCTGTTTCAGCTCTGCCTCTACGGTAGAAAGAATGATGGGAAAACCTTTTCATTCTCCTTCCATTAAGAAGCAAAGCTTTGGGGTTGGGGATTTAGCTCAGCGGCAAAAGCGCCTGCCTGGCATGCGCAAGGTCGTGAGTTCGGTTCTCGGTACTGGAGAAAAACCAAAAAAAAAAAAAAAAAAAAGAGAGAGAGAGAGAGAAGCAAAGCTTCAGCAAAAAGTTCAGATGATTTTCATTATGTGATGGCAAGCAGCTACCTACATATGAAATCAGGAAGAGGATGTGTAGCTTCCCTATCAAAATCGGTGTCATCAAAGAGAAGTAATAATAGAAGCAAGATACCCAGGTTGCAGTATGTTACTTCTATCATTTTCTTCAATCATCATTGTGAGATAAAGAAATATTCATGTATTTCAGCACAAACACTATGTTTTGTTTTTTTGGTTTTTTTGTTTGTTTGTTTTTTTCCAATACTGGGAATTGAACTCATGACATCTCCCTTGCCAGGCAGGTGCTGTGCCCCTGAGCTAAATCCCCAGTCCCCTCAAACACTATATTTTAAAATACCATCTTTGGAATTTAGAAGACATGAAAGATGGTAGAAAAGTTATGAAAACTATAATTAATAGACTCTAGGCTAGGATTTGCAAGGCCTCGCCATAGTATTTCAAGACTATAGGCATAAATCATTAGATTATACAATTTTAGGTTATTAGATTTGTTTAATAAGCCTTAGATCAATAAAATCACATAACTGCTAAAACTCTAACGGAAATAGCAGAATTGGTTAAAACTCCATATTCTTCAGCTGGTTTTCCTAAAAGCCTTGAGGGGCATATCATTTTAACTGAAGCAGCAAACATCAATTCTACATTTTAACACCAAATGACCCTTCCAAAGAAACAATAGTTTTAGGAGAGATTGAATCAAATATTCCAATTGGCTGACATGGATCACTTATTCAGAAATTTCTCTCAAAAAGCACAAACCCATCTCTCCCTCTTCCTCCAACTCACTGTTTTCAGTAGATAGAAATGTGCTTAAAAATGACTTAAATGTCCTTATAAAAGTTGAACAATGATAGGCAGCTTAACTAATAGGAAGCTGTTATGTCTCCTAGCATATCCTTTAGATAGTATAACCTGGTATTAAACCTACTTAATGATAAAATATTTTAAAATTATTGTCAGCATTTAAAGGAATTTAGCTTCAGATATTATTGAAAATGTATGATGAATAGAGTAGCTGTGACAATTCCTCACTGAAAAATTCCTGTCTTATGTGTTTCATTTATATAGTTTGATATAAATTGTGGGAAATAACTGTGCTAAGAAAAATAATTTTAACACTTTTTTAACATTCTCTTATATTATCATGTGTTTCGGTGGCACCTACTCTTTTCTAAGGTGGACAGATTTCTCAAAAAAACTTTTGTACAACAACTAAACTAATACTAAATATTGATATTTCACTTTCACAAAATATTTGTATTTTTACATGATTCTGTATACTTCCATATTTATTACCAAATGAGAATTCAGATCAAAGATGTTTAAAAAATTTTATTATCTGATTGTACTGTTTTTATAATATATTTTTTATATGTGATTTTCATTTGTTGGGTGCCAAGGTAGCATTTGCTTTTTTCTAAAAGTAATTCTCCAGTCTATGTCCTATTCAATTTGTTATGAACTTATGAATATGAATTTTGTTATGCTTTTTGAGATAAAATATTATGAACTCCATTCAATGAATATTCAGTTGTTGAAAGAAATGTCTTAAATTGAGAATATCTAAACTTGTTATATTGTAAATGATTTCATATGGGGTATTTTTTGAAATAAATATTCAATGATTTCTTTTTTGATTGCAAAAAGAATCTGTTTCAATTTTATCAACACACTTCTGAAGTGTTATATGAATTTTTAAGTTATATTAAGATTTCTGTGATACAGGTCCAAAAGGAAAGAAATTAAGAATTTTACATGTAAATCATTTTACATATAAATTATTCAATATTATATATGTGTATCCAAAATATACACATATGTATGTATATATGTTTATGCACAAAATCTGTTAATTTTCTGATTAAGGGCCTACAGTGAAATATTTGTATTAATGATAAGTCTTTCAAAGAAATCATAACACAAATGAAATTCTGGTGTTTACCTATCTAATAAAAAATAGAATGAGGTACATCGTGATTCTATATTATCTCTAAATTCAAGGAAAAAGATTCCCTTTGAAATTTAACTTTCATTATTTCCAGATTTTCCAGTACAAAAAAGTAAATAGTCACTGGATTCTTCAATACAATTTATTGAACGGTAATATATTGACAGAAATTATAAGTAGGGAAAATATTTCTACTCCTTTTTTCATGATCTTTCCTTTTGATTCTGAAATAAAACATTGTAATTGCTGAAAAATTGTGAGAAAAATTCACTTGTTACACAGTTGATAAAAATTTCTGGATCATGACTATGTTTGCTGTAAATAATGGGCTGAACATAGTCATCCTTTCATACATGGAACTGGCTTCAGGATGCATTCAAATTCAAAAATCAGTGCATAATTATATAAAATGGCAAATTAGTAACATATATAACTCATACACATTCCTCTATATACATAAATCATCTCTACATTACCCATAATAATACTACAATGAAAATGCTATGTAAACAGCTGTTATATGTTACATATAAGATATAGAGCTTCAGCTTATTTTCTTTGTGGACTTCATCATATCATAGGAATCTTAAATATCAGCTTTAAAATTTCATATAATTCTTCATAATTACGTTGGTAAAATAGAAACATAGACTCCTCTTGCAATCAAAAAACAAATCATTAAATATTTATTTCAAAAAAGAAATGTCTTCATACAAAGTCATTTGCAAAAGCAAAATTTTACTGATCCTAAAATTGACATAATGATAGGAAAAATATCTCTACATCCTCATTATAGACACACAGTTTAAAAAATATATTTTCGTGGCTGGGGATTTAGCTCAGCGGCAAAGCGCCTACCTGGCGAGCGCAAGGTCGTGAGTTTAGTTCCCGGTACCAGAAAAAAACAAAACAAAACCAAAAAAAAAATATATTTTCCATCCATAGTTGGTTGAATCTGCAGATGTGGAACCTGTGGATACAACAGGCCAACTTTATACATGTGTGAAGTTAAAATACACATGCCATAGTTAAAATTATAAGAAAAGGGAAAATATTTTCTAGTTTCAAATTTTGGCCCCAACTTTTAAAACATTTTATTAGTACTTGTTTGTGTTAATTACATTTACATTCATTTCAGTGAGTGGATGTATTTATCAGAATTTTAATTTTTAATGGGACTTTATGAAAATCGGATACACTAATATATAGTAAGCATTTACAATTATTAGTGGAATTAGTCATATTGTAAAGTTCAATTAATATTAGATATTATATTCCAAAAGAATAGCCTTTTTGCTTACCTTTGGCTATATTATCACTTAATAGTTAGTGATTGGTAGTGGTGCCTTTTTGCTGTGTTCTATTATATTCTGTATTTCACAAAATTTTCTCCCTGAAGAAAGGGAAGAAAATTTTAAAGCATTGCCTTTTAATTTTCTTCTACTTAACTTGGCGTAGCTGTTCCTTACATATTAAATTCACCTCAAATCATTTTTTGCCAGTATGTTTGTGCCAGCTTTACTATAAATAGAAAAGCAAATGATGGCAAGAAAATCTTGTGACAGCAACAGACAAGAAAACTTCCTAACCATATAATCTATGCTTCTATTCTTTTTAGACTGTTCCAAAATAATAAAAATAAATATATATATACTTTATTTTTTGTTTTTTTTTTTCTCTGGTACCGGGAACCGAACTCACGACCTTGCGCTTGCCAGGCAGGCCCTTTTTGCCGCTGAGCTGAATCCCCAGCCCAATAAAAATAAATAAATAAATAAATAAATAAGATTTCAAACAGCAATCACTTAGGCTGGCAAAAAATGATTTAGAAGTTCAGTTTTATTAAAACTTTCTTGGGGAATTTTATATTTAGATTTTTTTTGAGTTGCCTAAATCTGCACTATTTTCTTTGAATATTAAGGTCTTTAGATCATGGTTTGACCATGTAAGTTGTGAATATTATACTTAAGGTAAAATAAAATGTTGCTATGAAGTGGACATAACAGCTCCAGAGTTGGTAATATAAACAATAATTTCAGTGTTATTTATTATAAATATAGAATTGTGAGTGTTTTGTAAATACACTGATATCATATTAAAGTTTTCCATGGTTTTTCTAATTATTGCAGTTAATTAGATAACTGCAGTCTGTCTAGTTGATTAAGATAGTTTGTCTGCTTTATAGCTCAGAATTAAAGCACTTTCAGATTGTTTTATGTACTGGGAATTGAACTCGTGAACTTGTTCTTGCCAGGCAGACTCTGTATTTGTGAGCTCTATTCCTGGCCCCAGAATCTTAATGAAAGAAAAATATTCAAAATAAAATAAGATGAACATTAAAAGAGTCTTTTAAATATCTTAGAGAAACAAAAATTTCTCAATTAAAAATAATAAGAGAAAATTGGGCAAGAAGGTCAGTGGTACAGTGCTTGTCTAGCATAAACAAAGCTCTAGGCTCAACCATAATACTAAAAATGCTTATATTACTTTATGGTTTTATGTGTTTTTGCAAATCATTACATAAGTGGTTGTCA